GTGTATCTTATAAAATTTTTTTTAAGAAGGCCATACACAATCACTAGAGATTTGGTGGGGGTGAAGGAGTTTGTCACTCAGTGATTTAGTTTTTGCTTCAAACAAAAAAATCTGTCTAGAGAGACAGGCAGTGTTCCATGCCTATTCCTCATAAGCAATAATTTCTTAATGCTTTACATGACTGAAGAGGGGAGGAAAGGGTCTCTCTAGATCTCATTTCTTGTGAGCATCTGGTAGATACCAGTAGAGGAAAGCTTGCAAGTGAAGGAGAATTTCCTTTGTGTTTAGAGCTCCCATTATTCTAAACTGATATGCTGGCCCACATGTGGAATTTAGGGAATTTAAAAAATTTTAGTTGCTGGGACCCGCAGATGGTGAGATGTTTACATTGCTGAACTTCCACATAGTCAACTCCCGCAGTTCGAGTCCCAGATCTAGCAGTTTAAACTCATTCTGGGAGCATGTGTGTGCATGCCCAGAATCCCAAGAGGAGAATGGAGAAGAAATTGTGGCTTGGCCATGGCCCCTATGGGCCGATTTCTTGCTTTCAGTCTCTCTCTCTGGTGAGCACATGTGCCCTATACCAAAAACCTCTTTAAAAATTCTTTTTTAGTTGTTTCATACTTGCTTTTGTGGCAGCTGCGTCTTCCTCTATGCTCTGTAAAAGGTGAAACAAGAAGATTGTGTGCCAACTCTCTTTGGAACGGCTTCTCACAATATGAATTAAGTTCCCTTGGTTTCTTTGTGACCTAGGCTCGCTGACAAATGCAAAGAAAGTGATATTTGTAGGCTAACTGGCTTTTTCTTAAGGTGAGAGTGGCATGCTCTTAACAGCTGTTCATATCCTTAGTAGAAGAACTTAGACCCATATTTTGTATGTCTATGTTTCTTCTTTTTAGTAATTCATTTTTATTGTTATTTTATAAAACTATGGCTCAGTAACTAATAAAAAGCAAAAAAACTGGCCCTTCATAATACCTAGTTGTTAAGGGTACTGTTTCAGAGTATAAATTATAGTTATGACAAGATTGTCCAACCTGTTGCTTTCACAAGTGAATTGTTGAGCTTAGAATATTGACTTTGGGGGACCAGCTGATGGTGTAATGGCTATGTTGCTAGACTCCCATATAGTCAACCACAGTTTGAGTTCTGGATCTGGTGACTTAAAACTCATGTATGACCTGTGTGCATGTGTGCCCAAAATCCCAAAAGGGGAATGGGGGAGAAGGGACTGTAGCATGGCCATCCCCCCTGGGGGTTGATTTCTCGCTTTTTATTTCTCTGTCTCTCCAGTTGAGTACATACACCCTATAGCAAAAATCTCTCTCAAAAAAAAAAAAAATGTTGACTTTAGAACTTATGACATACTTGTGGATATCATAAAGGATTCAAACTAATTAATCAATCAGTGGATAATACAGTAGGGGAGTTAATATTTTCACCTTCAAAGATTTATTCGGTATCTTACTTTAGCACTGATAATTTTATCCCTTTCTAAAACAGTGTCACAGAATTTTTTTTTTTTTCTGATGGAAGGGTTAATTATTTAACAAGGCTAGAGATGTGTCTCAGATTACTTTTGAAAAAGACATAACAAAATATGAGACTTCAAAAGAGTCTGTGGAAAAAAATGCAATTAAAATATGAGTTTAGGGACCAGCAAATGGCATAATAGTTACGTTGCTGGATTCCCATGTAGCTGACTGTGGTCTGAGTCCCAGATGTTGTGGCTTAAAACTCATGCCAGCATGTGTGTGTGCATGCGCAAGATTCCGAGAAGAGAATGGAGGAGAAGGGACTGTGTCATGGCCATCCCCTAGGGATTTCTCACTTTCTTTCTGTCTTTGTCTCTCCAGTGAGCACATGCTCCCTACAGCGAAAATCTAATACATACATATATATACATGTGTAAAAATAAAGTATAAGTTTATTTTGGTGCAAAAATTTTGAAATCCATGCGTAGCTTTTTCATAATATGCATTTCCCACATATATAGTATATATATTTGCCTATTCATTATATATATAAAATTATATATATATTTTTTTCAATTTGTTATAGAGCATGTGTGCTTGGTGGAGAGAGATGGGGGAGAGACGGAGAAAGGATCTCTGCTGAAGAGACAGAAACGCAGCCATCCCTCTCCTCCATTCCCCTCTTGGGATTTCAGTCATGGGTGCATCTGGTGTGTCTTTCAAGTCCCTGGGTCTGGGACTGAACCACACAGTTAACCATATGTGATCCAGCCACTTCAACCACCATGCCACCAGCTAACTCTCTCATGAATTTTTTGAAGACCACTCATAAACCATAGATTCTGTGAACTACCAAAGGTTTTAATTAAATAGAAACACAGTAAGAAGAGAAAGCAGCCTTTGAAGACACTTAGTAAATTGTACTTCTAATTTCTCCTGCTAAAAAGTTTAGAAGCAATCATTTTCTTAAAATATGTTCTCTCAACACAATTTTATTATATACTTAGCATTATGTTGTTATTTTTAATGTAACCCTATAAAAGTGTGAAACCCTCAAGGAAAATGTTTTATTCATCTTTCACTTAGTGTCTAGCATAGTGCCTGGCATATACCAGGTTCTTAACGAACACATACTAAGTGAATGAACAAATGATTAGATCTTATAATGGTTCTTATGCCTTGTTCTTTCTTATATCTTTCTTGTGCACTATATCCTGCTCTCCCTGTCTCCCCTCTTCATCCCTATTACATTTCTGCTAGTGTGCATGTACAAGAGCTCACAGAATCTATACATGGCAGTATCTGCCTGACTTCCAAATAGTTTCCAATAGGATGTACAGAGAGTTCCAACTTACAATGCTTTGACTTTTAATTTTTTTACCTTATAATAGTGTAAAAGTGATACGCATTCAGTAGAAACTGTAATTTAAGTATCCATACAACCATCCTGCTTTTTACTTTTAGTATTAAATAAATTACATGAGATATTCTACAATTTATTAGAAAATAGGCTTTGTGTTAGACAACTTTGCCCAACTGTGGGCTAATGTAAGTATTCTGAGTGTGTTTTAGGCAGGTGAGGCTAAACTATGTTTGGTGAATTAGGTGTCTAAAGTGCATTTCTGGTGGTATTTTCAAACTTGAAATGGACTTATTGGGACGAAACCCCATTGTAACTCAAGGAGTGTCTGTATAAGGAAAATGGCATTAAAAGCATAAACTAGGATGTCTTTCTTTTTAAGTCTTTCAAAATTCCTAACACAGTAATATTTGCTGTATGAAAAAGAGACTGGGTTGAATTCCGCATTCATTAATCCCCTCCATTTGCTACGTTAACCTACATTTAACTTTACTTTCCTCTTTCTTTTCCCTAATAACCCATTTTTATTTCCTAACATACCTGTATAGTCTAATAAGAAAAAAATTTTAAAATTTTGAAATCCATGCGTAGCTTTTTCATAATATGCATTTCCCACATATATAGTATATATATTTGCCTATTCATTATATATATAAAATTATATATATATTTTTTTCAATTTGTTATAGAGCATGTGTGCTTGGTGGAGAGAGATGGGGGAGAGACGGAGAAAGGATCTCTGCTGAAGAGACAGAAACGCAGCCATCCCTCTCCTCCATTCCCCTCTTGGGATTTCAGTCATGGGTGCATCTGGTGTGTCTTTCAAGTCCCTGGGTCTGGGACTGAACCACACAGTTAACCATATGTGATCCAGCCACTTCAACCACCATGCCACCAGCTAACTCTCTCATGAATTTTTTGAAGACCACTCATAAACCATAGATTCTGTGAACTACCAAAGGTTTTAATTAAATAGAAACACAGTAAGAAGAGAAAGCAGCCTTTGAAGACACTTAGTAAATTGTACTTCTAATTTCTCCTGCTAAAAAGTTTAGAAGCAATCATTTTCTTAAAATATGTTCTCTCAACACAATTTTATTATATACTTAGCATTATGTTGTTATTTTTAATGTAACCCTATAAAAGTGTGAAACCCTCAAGGAAAATGTTTTATTCATCTTTCACTTAGTGTCTAGCATAGTGCCTGGCATATACCAGGTTCTTAACGAACACATACTAAGTGAATGAACAAATGATTAGATCTTATAATGGTTCTTATGCCTTGTTCTTTCTTATATCTTTCTTGTGCACTATATCCTGCTCTCCCTGTCTCCCCTCTTCATCCCTATTACATTTCTGCTAGTGTGCATGTACAAGAGCTCACAGAATCTATACATGGCAGTATCTGCCTGACTTCCAAATAGTTTCCAATAGGATGTACAGAGAGTTCCAACTTACAATGCTTTGACTTTTAATTTTTTTACCTTATAATAGTGTAAAAGTGATACGCATTCAGTAGAAACTGTAATTTAAGTATCCATACAACCATCCTGCTTTTTACTTTTAGTATTAAATAAATTACATGAGATATTCTACAATTTATTAGAAAATAGGCTTTGTGTTAGACAACTTTGCCCAACTGTGGGCTAATGTAAGTATTCTGAGTGTGTTTTAGGCAGGTGAGGCTAAACTATGTTTGGTGAATTAGGTGTCTAAAGTGCATTTCTGGTGGTATTTTCAAACTTGAAATGGACTTATTGGGACGAAACCCCATTGTAACTCAAGGAGTGTCTGTATAAGGAAAATGGCATTAAAAGCATAAACTAGGATGTCTTTCTTTTTAAGTCTTTCAAAATTCCTAACACAGTAATATTTGCTGTATGAAAAAGAGACTGGGTTGAATTCCGCATTCATTAATCCCCTCCATTTGCTACGTTAACCTACATTTAACTTTACTTTCCTCTTTCTTTTCCCTAATAACCCATTTTTATTTCCTAACATACCTGTATAGTCTAATAAGAAAAAAATTTTAAATGTGTCTCAAAGGGTGATAGCTGATAATCCCAGAGGAGAACATACATACCTTGCAGTCAACAGGAATCATATTTTCCCCTAATCTTAGAGCAAATAATCTGTTTCCACAGATTTAAAGAGAAAAAACTTACCCAGCCTTAGCAACACTTATGGTTTGTTGCTCCATTGCTTCGTGGATGCTGGTTCTATCATGCTCTTTAAGGCTGTTAAACTCATCAATACAGCAAAGGCCTGCATCTGCAAGCACTAATGCCCCAGCCTCCAAATTCCACTCTCCTGAGTCTTTTACAGCAGTTACTGTCAAACCTGAGAAAATAAGAAAGGTATGTCCATTTTTATTGTCAAAAGTATATTCTCCACCTATGAAGGAAAAGAAATACCTGCATTTCAAAGAGAAGGACATGGAGCCAGCCACAGTGGCATAGTGGTAAATGTGATGCTCTATAACGCTGAATCCACATGAGAAGGTCCTGGGTTCATGTCCTAAGGCTTCCCTGCACTGATGGGTGTGCATATGTGAGACTGGGCGATGGGCTAAGGCTAGGTGTGGGTCATGGCAGGAAGATCCTATTGGAGGTCCCTCCCCCACCCCTCGTTTCTCTCTCATAGAATAAATAAACTTTAAAAAACAGTAATAAGATAAAAATAGAAGAGCATAAGAGGTTTAATTTGTACTCCACCAATAATGGGTGGCATCTAAGAATGGATGAAACCACAACAATTTCAGGTATCTATCCACTGAAAGGTCTCAGAAACTCCTTTGTTCTGATAATTTCAAATGCGTTAGCACACATTCTGAGGCAACTAGAATGCCCCAATTTTTTTTCTTTCTTAGTAGCTGCCCTGACAGAGTGCTCTAAACTTTTAGAAGAATGAGCAGATTTCCACAAATCTTATGACAAGAGGTTCTGTGCTATATACTGTTTTTAGAGAAAGCTCCAATAATAGAGAACAGTTATTAAAGTCCAATAATGAAAATGAAAAGTTTGCTCCCAGTCGGTATGAAGGAGATGATTCTCTTTATAACGCTTATTGATTTTGATTTATCCTTTATGTCAGTCAATATAGCAGAGTGGTCAAAAGTAAACACTCTAAAGTCAACCTAGACTTGATCTGAATCCTGATCTATCTGCTGGCTGTTGGACTGTAAGCCAGTTTCCTAATATATATAGACCTTATTTATCAATCTGTGAAAGAAGTTAATAAGACAAACTACCTTACAGATATTAGATGTTTAAATAAAATACAACCAATCCTCTTAAAATGTATATGACACATAATGAGTAACTATCGGTTGGTAAAAATCAATAGATCTCTGGCCACAGTAACCAAAAAAAAAAAAAAAAAAGACACAGTTATAATTACTGGAAATAAAAGAAGGAACATAACTAATACACCTTAACAATGAGCTAATATTAAGGTAACACTGAATAATTCGATGATATAAGTTTGGTAACTTAGATGAAATGGGTCAACTTTTTCTGAAGAACACAAACTTTTAAAGTTTATGTAAAAAGGAATAGATAACTTACACAATCCTAAATCTATTTTGAAAACTAAATATGTAGTTGACCCTTTAACACAGAAATATGCAGGCTTAGATGGCTTCATAGTGAAATTCATAAAAAATTTAAGAAATACTGACAATTCTATAACATACAGAAGACCAGGAACACTTCAACTTATTTAATGAAACCAACATGACTATGAGATTAAACTACATGAAGACATATTAAAACTAGAGATCACTATTCCTCATACACACAGGTGTAAAAATTCTCAACAAAATATAAGCAGATCAAATTGAATAATATGTAAAAGAATAATATAGCATAACCAAGTGAGAATTATCAGAAAATGCAAAGTTAATTTTTTTTTTTAAGGTTTTAGCCATAGGATGTGAGCACCCTCCAGAAAGGCGAGAGACTGATAAAAAAGTGAGAAATTACTCTGCTATGGGGGATGGCCATGCCACAATCCTTTCTTCTCCACTCTCTTCCTGAGATTTTGGGCATGCACGTGCACACACATACCTGGCATGAGTTTTAAACTTCCAGGTCAGGGATTTGAACTACAGTTGGCCATGTGGGAGTCCAGTGCTTTAAGTACTACTTCACCTTCTGATCCCACAAAGCTATTGGGCTGTCAGAAAAGTCATGACTCACTTTGCACAGAAAAACAGAAAAAGCACATCTTGACTTTTCCAACCGCCCAATAATTTAACATTGAAAAATTAATCAAAGTAATTCATTGAATAAGCAAACTAAGAGAAAAAAGCATACATCAGTCAATAAATACAGAAAAACAATTCATAAAACTCAACAATCATGTTTATGAACATTTGCCAAAAAATTAGGAATAGAAGGGAATTTCCTCAACTTGATTAGGGGGTATTTACAAAAATCCTATAGCAAACATACTTAATGTTAAAAGGATGCTTCCTGCTACAGTTTCAATGTGTCCCCTAAAATTCACACATTGAGGGTCAGGTTGTGGCACAGTGGTAATGCGACTGGACCCACATGGAAAAGGTACTGGGTTTGCGTGTTGCAACCTCCCTGCGCACAGTCCACATACATATGCCTGTGATATGAGCTGGCTGAGACTGGGGATGAATTGTGGCCTAAGACACCATTGTGAGTACCTTTCTCTTTCTTTATATTTTTCTTGTGGGGAAAAAATAAACAAAAAAATTCATGTATTGCAATCTGGTGAGCCACTTCAAGGGTTGCTGAGAGCGTGAAAACCTAATCTGACTATGGTGTTAAATGATAGTCTTTGGGAGGTGATTCGAATCGTATGAGGTCCGATACCATGACTAATCCTAGTGGCTTTATAAGGAGACATAGACATTGTCACAGACACATTCTCTTCTTCCCCTGTATCACCATGTAATGCCCTGTGCCAACTTGGATTCTACAGAGAGTCTCCACCAGTAAGAAAACTCTAACCAGATGTGGCCCCTTGACCTTGGATCTCCAAAATCATAAACTAAATAAGCCTCTATTATTTAGAAATCACCCAGTCTCAAGTATTTAGTAATTAAACAACACAGAACTAATTAAAATACTTTCCTCTCCCCTACTTCCAAAATCAGAATACAGTAAGGCAATTTTCCCTCATTACTTTAATTCAAAATCATACTATAGACTCTGGCCAGTGAAATAGGGCAAGGAGAAGAAATAAATGGCATTTGTATGGAAAAAGAAAGAAAATATTTAAATTCATAGACAGTATGATTATGTAGAAAATTTCAAAAAATCCACCAAAAAGATACTAGACTGAATGAGTCAGTGTAGCATGCTGCATTATGTAAGTCAATACACAAAAAATAATCTTATTCCTATATACTAGAAATTAACAATTAGAAATTACACTAGAAAAGGAATACAATGTGGAACATTTTGGTATAAATCTTATGAACTACATGAAAGATCGACATACAAAAAGCTACAAAACACTGCTAAAGGAAATCAAACACAATCAAATTTTGAGAGATATTTCACATTCACAGAATAAGCAGAAAAACGGGGCCAGCAGCTGGTGTCGTGGTTAGGGTGTTGTACTCCCCCATGGCTGACCAAAATCTCAGAAGGGCAGTTGTGGCCTGCTCATCCCCCCCCCTTCCCCTCCTCCGATGCCCACCTCCCAAAAAAATGGGAAGAAAAATGCCTTTGATGAGTTCCTTAGTAGAGTGGAAACAGCTAAGAAAGATCTCTGTGTTTAAGGATATACATGTCAATAGAAACATCCACCACTAAAAAACAGACCAAAAAAAAAAGAAAAACCTGAAGGAAAAGAGAACAGAATACAATGACAAACTACAAAAAGTATAATATACATGTAATGAAAATACAAGGACAATAAAATGAGAAAGGAGACATAATATCTGAAACAATTTTATAGAGAACTTCCCCCAAATTATGTCAGATAACAAACTATGGATCCAGGGTGCTCAGAGAACACCAAGCAGAATAAATGCCAAAAACAACCCTACACTTAGGTGAATCACAATCAAATTTCAGAAAAGTCAAACATTAAAAAAAAATCTTGAAAGAAGCCAGAGGAAGAAAAATACTTACCTATAGAGAAGAAAAAGTAAGAATTATATGAGACTTCATGGAAACCATGTAAGCAAGAAGAGAATGGAGTGAAAAACTATGTTGATGGGACCAGCAATTGACATAATGGCTATGTTGATGGACTCCCATGTAGTCGACTACGGTTCAAGTCCCGGACCCAGTGGCTTAAACTCACACTGGGCACGTGTGTGTGCATGCCCAAGATCCTGAGAGGAGAAGGGGACTGCAACATGGCCATCCCCCCTGCAGGGTGATTTCTCACTTTCTGTCTCTCTGTCTCTGTCTTTCTGGCGAGCACACACGCCCTATAGCAAAAACCTCTCAAAAAAAAAAAAAAAAGAAAAAAAAAAGAAAAAGAAAAATTGTGTTGAAAAAAGAAAAAAAAACCTATCAACCTAGAATTCTATACCTTGCAAAATTGGCCTTCAAAGGTTAAAAAAAAGACTTTCTCACACAAAACCTAAGGGATTTGTTGCCAAAAGACAAAAAATGTAAAAAGAAATGTAAGAAATGTTAAAAGTTTTTCAGTGAAAAGAAAAAAATTGATATAGATCAGACACTTAGATCCACATAAAGAAAAAAGAGCATCAGAATGTAATATGTGAAGATAAAATAAAAACTTTCCTTTTTTTTATTCTTAATTGATCTAATAGATGATTTTCCAAAATAAGAAAAGCAACATGGGGGCCAGAAGATGGCATGGAAGTTAAGGTGTTGGATCTCACTGGGCTGATTGTGCAGATGGAGTCCTGGACCTGGTGGCTTGGAAATCACCCTGGGTGCTTGTGGGTGCTTGTGCGTGCAGGCCCAAGAGCTCAAGAGAATGAAGGACAAGGGATTGTGGCTGGCCATCTCCTCTGGGGGATATTTCATAGTTTCCCTCTCTGTCTTTATCTGTCTGTTGAGTTCATGTGTCCTTTAGCAAGGAAAAAAAAAAAAAAAGAAAGAAAGAAAGAGAAAAGAATAACATATTCAATTACTTATACTCATGTATATAATGTATAATACATGCTTAATTGTGTTTATGTGTAAGTGAAATGAATAACAGTAATAACACAAGGGAAGGAAAAAAGAAATAAAGAAATTAGAGGCATTTTGTTATTACAGAGTACTTATACTATCCATGGAATGGTGTAGTGTTATTTGAAAATGAACCTGAATTAGTTGTAAATATAATGCAAACACTATGACAACCACAAAATAACGATTAAAAAAAAAGCACTG